GGGCCCCGCCGGTGGGCGGACGACGGGTGGACTGAGCGGGGTAGCGGCCGTGGTCGATATCGGGGCGGCCGGGCGCGGGGGCGCGGGGAGGGGTTTAGAAATAATAAACGAAAGCCGTGCAGTTTCTTTGCAGCAGGAAGGCGAGCACTAAATTGCATGGATCTGGGGGCTGAAAGCTGATGCGCCGTGCCTCCACTTGCAGATGCAAATACGGAGACCAATGCGACTTTAGCCACGAACCCATCTACTGATCCCCATGTACCATGCTCCCGCAACGTTTTTGCATCCTCGCGCATCGTATGATATGATTTACACTATTACTTTATATACTCCCTTTCCTCTCCGGGCAGGCCTTTGGCAAGATCCGAAACGGGGCCGACAATGCCCCCGTCCCGTGAGACGATCAGTCACGTCGCTGCGCACGAACCGAGTCGCAGCTGCCGCGCGCCCACGTCGACGTCTAGACGTAACATAATGGATTAGCGGTACAGTTACAGCCCTTCAGTGAGTGATAAATACGACAGATGAGGCAGCGTCGCGGCGCAGGCTGGCGATCACGATTACTAGAATACAAACATCTATGCTATGACAAGTACTGTATACGACCGCGAACCGACAGCAAGCAAAAAAAAAATAATGAAAGCACAGAGCCAGTGAGTGAGTACTATGGTCACAACCTATGTCCGCCCCCGTTTCCGCGCCTGCCGCTTGTTTGGCTGCGTCTGGTCCGCATTCGCCACTGTCGGAGATCCGTCCTCGTTCCGCTGCGCCTTCCGTTTCAGCGTGGCGTTGGGCATCGACGGCGTCGTGCTGGGTCCGCCCGGGGTCACCGCCGCAGCGGGCGTAGACGCCGACGCGGATGGCGTCGTGCTGCTCATCGTCGCCGTCGACGCCTGCGATGCAGGAGCGGGGGGTACCTTGTTCTGCTTCGCATCTACACAGGCAGGAGGGTTCTGTGGCGTAGAGGGCGCGGGCGGCTGCGACTGCGACCCGCCCGAGATGTTGTTGAACAGAGAGACCGACGGTGTCGACATGACCCCATTGGTACCATCGAACATCGTGGTGCTAAACCCGCCCAGTCCGGCCTGGGATGGCTTGTGTCCGCCACCCGCCTTGGGATCTCGTGCCTGCTGCTCGCGGAGCTTTTTGGCATACTGGTCCAACGCATCTACGAACAGGCACGATCCAGCGACGTCAGATCGTGCACTCGCACGACTGAATGGCACACACCTATTGGACCCAGATTACTATCAAGAGAAAATTGAATTAGATCGGACATCTGCGCGACGCTCTCCGCCAACTAGGGTGATCAACAAATGCTTTAGTCACTCGCCGGCCATGCAGAGCTCTCACCCACCTCGAGACATCGCATCGTGGCCTGTGGGATGCCAAACGCATTGATCGGTTCGCCCGGAAGAACCGCACGGTCGATGATCGTCCTGGGCTCGTCGTACCGCTTGTCGTCATCCTCCCTTTTTATCTGCACTTGCCCCATCAGGTTAATGGATGCTTGGGAGGGCGACCCCTGCGAACGAATGCCTGCGATCGAATCGATGTTGAGCGACTTCTCGAACGAGGTCGCATCAAACGTCAGTGTCTCGATGCGTAGCTGGTAGCTAGCCGGTATTGGCGGCTGATGGGTGGGGTTCGCCGGAATCGGAATCGCCAGTATGTGCGCGGTGAGGGGACCCTTGAGGACTACCGTATAGCCGTTCGTGTAACGGAACGTCCACATGGCGTGTGCACATTCTACGACAGCAGCTGGTATAAGACCCGCGAGCTTCTCGCGCGCACCATCAAGGCTCAGCGACATCGACTTCACACCCGATTGTGTCGTCACGAGGAAAAATCGGGGGAGGATGTGCGTGCCGATCTCTGCAGCGCACCATGCATGAGCATGACAAACAAACAAAATTAGCGATGCGTCCACGCACCAAACGGTTTCGCTTCCTTCTGATCTCCTGGATGTTGCCCCTTCCAGAGCGTGAATTTCATCGTCGCCGAGTGCGTGAAGTAGTCGTTCACGAACATGTTCCAGTAGCCCAGGTGTTTCTAGCGAGAATTTCCGCCGTCAGAATATCCAGCCGGGGGAGGGAGGGGGGAGGGGGGGGGCTATAAATTCTGTCACTCACGTTCCTGTGCTCCCCCTTCTGTTCCGACTGCAGCTCTCCACTCATCTGCAACAACCTCATCGTCGCCTGCCCAAGGCCAACCACCCACGGAGAAGGCGCCGCCGCACTATCTCAAACCATCAGCAAACTCGCCGAACAGACCCAGAGAAAATTCAAACGCTCACTTTGACCGCATTACCGGCATCGGTTGCTGGGTCGGGCGCGGAGCGGGTGGTGGTGGGTTCTCCGGCTGACCGTGCGCGGGAGCCGAGCCGTTCGATGGTGCCGGTGCTGCTGGCTGAGGCATGGGGGGCGGCCGCGGCGGCATCTGCATCAACGGGCCCGGGGCGGGCTGTTGCTGCTGCTGCCGTGGCGACGTATGCGGGGGGCCCGGCTGGGGTATCCTTGCTGTGGGAGGTATATTGCCGGGGAGCGGCTGCTGCGCCGTGCGCGGAGTCGTTCGGGATGGACCTGGCTGTTGCTGCTGATGCTGCTGTTGTGGCGACGGACGCTGTTGTCCCTGCCCTGATTGTGGACGCTGGACGTGTGGGTTCATGTGGTCCGCCGGACGGGGAGATTGATGGCGCTGCAGCCCCTGTTGCTGGGGTGGGAGAGGAAAGGCAGAATGTGACGCGTTGTGCGATGGAGGGCGAGGTGGGACATTTTGTTGGTGTTGAGGCGGAACGTTGAAGTCGTTCGTATGAAAACTCTCGTTACTCGTGTTGAGCGACTCGTAGAGTTGAGCGGGAGTGGTGAGGGGGTTTGGCCGCGAACTGGGACCCGGCGCATTGAGCTGCCCGCCGCCACCGCCACCACCGCCGCCGACGTTCTGTGGAATATCGCCAGGCGGATGTGGTGATGTCGATGTTGATGTGAAGGGGAACTGAGACGTTGTCGGCGGCAGTCGCGGCATTTGCGGCATGCTCGGCTGCATTGGGGGGTTCTGGAAGTTCATGAACATGGCATTGTCAGGAGTGAGGCGAGATCGGCTCCCGGGAGTCTGGGGCCCGACGTTGGAGGGGGGGATGGACTGAGCGAGATTGACGGGGGTGTGCGCCTGCGGATGAGAGCCAACATGCGGGGAGGAGCCCATCTGCTGGAGTTGGGCGTGGTGGGGCATGGACATGGAGGCGGTGAATGCGCTCTGGGACATCTGGGGCTGCATCGAGTCTGGGTGCGGGGCCGTGAGGGATGATGGCTGGGGGATATTTCCTATCATCTGCTGCTGGGACGATGGGGTCCGATTCGCATGTGGCGGCAAGGCATTGTTGACCTGGAGATGCGGGGGGGCGCGCGACATGCCCATGGGGCCCTCGGGGGACATGTGGCCCTGCATGAGATGCTGCTGAGACTGGAGACGCATGCCGTTCATGTGGTGCTGTGGCTGGTGAACGGGGCGCATGTGGGCGGGCATGGCCTGGGCAGAGTTCATGGGCATGCCGCCGAGTGCGCCCATGGTCTGAGGGATGGGGCCCATGTGTCCCTGGGGCTGATTGAGGGAGCCAGGCTGGGCGGGCGGGCGGCGGATCTGCTGCTGGGGGATGAGGCCGTTTGGGAAGGCGGTGCCCGGGAGCTGGGAGTGGTTGAGACCGTTGACGACGGGGGGGCCGGCGGGTCTCTGGGGATTTGTATGCTGCATGCTATGGGCCTGCTGCATGAGGACTTGTTGGCGGTTGGATTGATTTGTGCGTTGGAGGTGGAGCTGATAAAACTCGGGATTAGGGCCGGTGTTCAGATTTTGGCCTGCACCGAGGAGGCTCATGGGGGCGTTTGAGGTCTGGCCGTTTTGGAACATGGCGGGCTGGGGCGGGGGGCCCTGGGCAGGCTGGCCATGGCCTTGTTGGGAGGGGAGGAAGTGCTGGCCGGGCATGTTGAGCATGGGGTTTGTGGGCAGTCCCTGGCGGAGCATGTCTGAGGATGTGTTCATCGGGAGGACAGGAGCGAGCGCGGGG